TATTTATATCTATGGTTACATCTATATTTATATTCATACGTGTGATACAATTTTCTGTGTACTGTTCTTTTCTAGTTTGCTCTTGTGTGTCCGGACTGTGAGTAACTCTTGTATTGTATTGTACTATGATTATATAATGCGTTACACTGTGGCTGTGTTGTGTGTGTTAAGCTGCTGTTGCACTGCAATTTCCCTCACGGGATCACGGGAGTTCCAAGACGAAAACCACTGCTGAGCAAAAAGAACATAAAGGCTCATCTCAGTTTTGCCAGAAAACATCTTGATGATCCCCAAGACTTTTGGGAAATTACTCTGTGGACTGACGAGACAAAAGTTGAACTTTTTGGAAGGTGTGTGTCCCATTACATCTGGCGTAAAAGTAACACAGCATTTCAGAAAAGGAACATCATATCAAACCAACAGTAAAATATGGTGGTGGTAGTGTGATGGTCTGGGGCTGTTTTGCTGCTTCAGGACCTGGAAGACTTGCTGTGGTAAATGGAACCATGAATTCTGCTATCTACCAAAAAATCCTGAAGGAGAATGTCCGGCCATCTGTTCGTGACCTCAAGCTGAAGCGCACTTGGGTTCTACAGCAGGACAATGATCCAAAACACACCAGCAAGTGCACCTCTAAATGGCTTAAGAAAAACAAAATGAAGACTTTGGAGTGGCCTAATCAAAGTCCTGACCTGAATCCGATTGAGATGTTGTGGCATGACCTTAAAAAAGGGGTTAAGGCTCGAAAACCCTCCAATGTGGCTGAATTACAACAATTCTGCAAAGATGAGTGGGCCAAAATTCCTCCACAGTGCTGTAAAAGACTCATTGCCAGTTATCGCAAATGCTTGATTACAGTTGTTGCTGCTAAGGGTGGCCCAACCAGTTATTAGGTTTAGGGGGCAATCACTTTTTCACACAGGGCCATGTAGGTTTGGATTTTTGTTTTCCCTTAATAATAAAAACCTTCATTTAAAAACTGCATTTTGTGTTTACTTGTGTTATCTTTGTCTAATATTTCAATTTGTTTGATGATCTGAAACATTTCAGTGTGAAAAACATGCAAAAATAAATAAATCAGGAAGGAGGTAAACACTTTTTCACACCACTCTATACCGTGTTTTGATGCGATACGCCCACCACGTAATACCACAGCGTGCCCTGATTATTTTGAATAGCTGCATCTGTATAACTACCGCATGATTTTTTTATCCGTTTCAGCTACATGATGGAAATTAAATGTGTCAGAATCTCGGAGTGTCAATTTTAAAAACTGTTTAACTTAAAGAACGGAGAGAAGAAATTCTTAATCACAATATCATCACTTAATTTATCCAGATACACAAATTCACGCCAGAGCCAACAACAAGCTATAATAGTGGACTATTTTTATGCATTCAGTTATATAGGAACCAAACCAAAAGTAATTCTCAGATCGTGTTTTGAACCTCCTGGGTGCAGCTCACTCCATTACAGTGCTCATTACCACTACAAGAACAATAGAAGTTTTTTGAAAAAATAAACAAATGTCAAAATGTTACCAAACGTCCACTTATGATACTTTAGCTGCTTAGTTGATTCATATTAGTATAGCTATCAAGTGATGTTAAATTACTACAACATTTACGTATCATACATATTATTGGAAAAGGATAAAACATTATAACTTTTTATGAAGTACAGAATATAAGCACATTAAAGCCAGAACCCATGTAAATTACAAAGTTAAAGACTTTGATATATAAAATATGTATGAATAATTCAAATATTTGTGATGAAGGTGGAAGGTTGTGTACTTTTTTCCAAATGAGCAATCTTGCTTTTATAAAATACACCAAATAATGATTAACATGCTGTAATACACAGTTTAAAATTAAAAGTCTAAAGAGTATATAATTTAAATTCTTAATTGGATAAAGATTGTCTCTCAGCAGTGATCAGGATTTAAAACTGGGTGTTTTCTGGCAACAGCTCAAATGCTGTACATGAGAGGTTAAGCTTTATTAGCTCCACCTGGAGGTGATTCCGGATACTATTATCATAACTGCGGTATTATGTGGTATGATGCGATAAGACATGTTATGACGCGTTCTGATGCGACACGCCCACCTAGTTTTACTGAAGCGTACCCCACTCCTTTTGAATGGCTGCATCTGTACATTTTATTTTTTATTATTAAAATAAGATTTACTGTAGAGTACGTTAGACCTAATGGTTAAGGATATACTGTGCAACCTGGTGGTTTTGCAGTGAAGTACAGTCCTGTAGAGTATTTGAAAAAATAAAAAGGTGCGGGGTTTTACCTTCTGAGGTACTGTGGTATGTTATTTGCAGCATGTAGCAAAACATGACAATCATTCTAAGTGGCTGAATGTGGCTGAATTAGTTGGTTATATTTCAGTAAACTGCTGTTATTTTACTCACAGAGAAAGGATGTCCTCCAATTAACAAAAAGAAAATTCATATCTCTGAATACAACTCACTCACCTCTACCTGTTGACAGATTTGAATGAGCTTGGCCATCTGATTTTCTAACTCAGTGTTTCTTTTCACCAAGTTTGTAAGATTGTTTTCCAGAGTTTGCTGGTGAAAAAATAAAAAGGATGGGAAAGTATGTGTTAATCGATGTAACAGAAAGGCACAAAATTTGCAACATTCCTTTTTTTGCAGTGCATGCAGACAACATCCTTTAACAACAGAAGTAAAATAGTGTAGAAGACTATCAATTCATACCACAGCTTTAGTTGATTGACCCAAGGTGTAACAACAAAACGAAAAGAGAGAAAAATTAAATCGTCTTAAAATATAATTTTTAGCGCCTAGCAAAAATTGCCCCTTTCCAACTAAATTCCATTTCTCTGAAATACAAATTGTTTATTCACATTTTTTCAAAGTATTTTTTTATCAAAATTTGAATGCTCTAACTGAACACATTAATATGCAAAAGAAAATAAATTTCAATAAATAACTAAAATGTTGTTTGCATTGTATTCACCCCTTATGCTACTGTAAAACCAAATTAGCTCAGGTGCAAGATTACTTTGACAATTCACAAAATTAGTTCAAAGTAGAAAGGCACAGATCAGGTGAAGGGTATAAACAAATGTCAAAGATACTGAATGATCCTTTGTGCATGGTGAAGCTTTCAGAAAGTGAATGGTATATCATATTTCCCAAACTGCCTAGATCAGACTGTCCCTCCCAACTGTTGCAGACAGGCAAAGAAGCAGCTGTTAGGAATGAGGCCAAAAGTGACTTAGAGTTACAAAGTTAAATGGTTGAGATGGGACAAATGTCCTTTACTAAGCACAAAGAGAAGCAGGATGCACAGCTATAGTCTGCTCTATTGAGTGTGCTCTAGTTGTTACATAGTTATCATAACCATTTATTGTTAGTTATACAGGTGTATTTGGGGTAATCAAAATAATGGCCAGCACAAAGAATGCTATTGTTAATAGAAACAGCACTAAGCAACATATTACTGAGTACCTAAACGTATATCTGTTTAATTCCAAAGTTGTACTTTGTTATTTGTATACTTGCATACTTTTTAAAAATTGTATTCTAATATTGCATACTTTCATTCTAATACTTACTGTATATTGGTGAATACACACAAATATAAAGAGCATCAAAAACAAACTTGTCACTATTTATGTGTATTTTTAGAAAAATAGAGAATATGGATTTTTGACGTTGATTAAAAATGTAAGAGTGTTTTTTATTAATCAATAATTCATAACTGATGTTCATAACTGATGAAGTGACATGCTAAATTGACATTGCATAAACATAAAATTATTGAGAGCTGATAGGGTACAGAGGCTGAAATCATTTAATCTGGTGAATGCCAATACTGGTGAAAGTCCTAAAATAAAACAAAGTGCAAAACAAAGTGCTTTACTTATCAAGAGAATAACACTGTAGTCTTATTGATCAGTATGTTATAAAATGGACACACTCAGCTCAGGTGGAATCGCAATGGAGAAAAGTTGTCTTTAATTGGAATCAAAGTTTTGTGTAGACTTCCTGATGGACATCAGCAAGTGTGCAGATGTGCAGAATGATATGTTTATGATAAAGTTCCAGGACAGTCTAGTTGCTACAGAACTCCACTAAAGGTGACTGATGGAAACTTCACAGCACCGCAGTACATTGATCAAGTCCTATGACTTCACAACCTGCTCTTCCTATGGGATCATCTTGACTTGACAGAATTCAAGCAAATAAGGCACACCCTCATGCTGTTTGTGTAATTACAAATTTCTTTTAAGATGAAAATATTAGTTATGCTGTGGATGCTCCACTTGCTTTATTTGAGTATTTGGTGGGTGAGAGAGGACTTGTGGCATCTAGGGTTCAGAATTTAGTGAGCAGGCAAATACTGTCCAGAGGAATGGGACACAATACCACAACATAGCATCTGCAAACTAATGCAAAGTACAAACTGAAAAAAATAGTGCTACTGACTGCAGTAATTTGGTCTAGAGTTCATTCACTCACTCTCTAATATCTACTGTATATTCTATATTACATAACATGTCCAACAAATATCCTGATGGAAAAAAAAACAATGTAACATCTCCTCCTCCACACTCTGGCCCTCCTGTCTGCGTGGAACAGACTGAAGAGTAACTCATCCGTGAAGAGGACCTGGCCAAAGCCAGTCGGATGTGGCGTCTAGGAGGCATGAGAAGAGGGCCTCTGACAGGTCGCTTTGCTCTTAGGCCAGCAGCATGGAGCCTCACTGTCCCATCACTAATGCGGACATAGCGTCTGCCAGCAGTTACAGCAACAGTACGGATGGCAGACCTGAAAAGATCTCTCAGATGGACCAGTCTCAGTTGTCAGTCCTGCTCCTGCTCTGGTGTGTTCACTCAAGGGCGACCGGATATTGGACGGTCAACTGTCCTGCTGGTCTGCTGAAACCTGCCTGTAGTATGCCATTTGCCCTCTTCCTTGTTTCATGTGACATTTGAGGCATTATGGAATGCACAGAAAATGGACTATGTGTGGCCTTTTTCTTGCAGTGACCTAAGCTTTGAATTAAGGCCTTTTTAAAGGTGACCTGATCAGGCATTGCTCCACATGGACCTCGTTGGGTAAAAGTGCATCTAACGAGCTTTCGTGTGATTGGCAAGTTCCAATGTCTCACTGAACAAGCTGTATTGCTGGTCAAAGGGCTTAAAACAAATTGATAACATTTTGGAAATTACATAAGCTATAACTATACTATAGTATTCTCATTCCAGAAAATGTTGCGTTTCTTTTTTCCATCAGTATATTAATAGGTGTCATGTGGAAAATTTAGAGGTACAGATCCAGCCATTCGAAATGCGCAAAGTACGCTGTGTTAAAACACAATAGGCGTGGTGCATCATACTACATCATAACGCATGTTATGATAATAGTATCCAGAAGCACCTTGTAAAGCCCCAAGGTGGAGCTAATAAAGCTAAATGTCTCGTGTACAGCATTTAAGTTGTCACCAGAAAAAGCTTGGTTTCTAATCTCTGTCACAACTATTAAGAATTTAAGATGTATACTCTTTAGACTTTTAATAGTAATTGAAAACTGTGTATTACAACATGTTAATCACTAAACATTAAAAAGCTGGAATATTTTATAAAAGCAAGATTGCTCATCATAAATAATTTAATTTTGCATAAATATTTTATGCATCAAAGTCTTTAACTTGGTAACTTACATGGGTTCTGGTTTTAACGTGCTTGTTCTAACATTGTTATGTTTATATTCTGTACTTCATGAAAGGTTTTATCATTTTCTAAGAATACATAGTAAGAACACCACTTGCTGTTATTGTAAAAACATAAATGTTATAGTGATTTAACATCACTTGATAGTAACATGAATTTGGAATCATGTACAGATACAGAACAAGCGGGGTATGCTACAGTACAACGCGGTGGGCGTGTCGCAGTATACCGCATTATACAGTATGCAAATTAGATTATGTTAATAGTATCTGGAATCACCTTGTAAAACTCGCAGGTGGAGCTAATAAAGCTTAACCTCTCATGTACAGCATTTGAGCTGTCACCAGAAAACATCCGGTTTAGAATGCCTATCACTGTTGTGGGACAATCTTTATTCAATTAAGAATTTAAGTTGTATACTCTTTAGACTTTTAAATTTAAACTGTGTATTACAGCATGTTAATCATTATACATTAAAAAGTTGGTATATTTTATGAAAGCAAGATTGCTCATTTGGAAAAAAGTACATACCCTTCCACCTTCATCACAAATATTTGAATCATTCATACATATTCTATATATCAAAGTCTTTAACTTGGTAATTTACATGGGTTCTGGCTTTAAAGTGCTTGTTCTAACATTATTAAGCTTATATTCTGTACTTCATGAAAAGTTATAATGTTTTATCCTTTTCCAGTAATATGTACAATACATAAATGTTGTAGTGATTTAACATCACTTGATAGCTATATTAATATGACAAAAGTACACAACCTACCATAACAAAATATTTATAATAAATATTTTAATTATGCAGAAATATTTTATGTATCAAAGTCTTTACCGAAGATATTACTAATAGTATTAATAATGAATGACCTTGGACAAACTGTAAACTCAAAGTATTACCCTTGAGAATCTCCAATTCACCATGCCTTTAACATGCTCATAACAGATATTAATTTAGGAACATAAACATATTACTGAATGTAAACTGTACTGTATATGGGTGCTTTTGGTAGTTGAAAGAAAAAATACACAACAGTATTCCATTTCTCCATTTTCTCTCATACATGTGGTTATTTCGGAATTTTTTTACGGGCTCTTTCTGACCATGGTACTGTATGTTTATATACAGTACTTTGTGAGAAAAGTGATAGTTTTAAGCTATTCTGCGAATATGCTCAATATCAGAGTAAACAAAAGCATACTTTCAGAATTTGAGTAATAGGGAATATAAAATGGAATCGCGTATCTAAAGAAATTAATAACGATATAATTATATGCAGGTACTGTTGCACAAACAGTAGTATTTACACATATCTATTGATATGTGTACGGCTGTTTCAGCACTTGTCCCACGACTGTGTCAGTGGCGTGATGGTTTATGTGCCTGACTTATAAGTGATTGGTTGAGTGTTCAAATCCAGTTATCACCATCCATTAACTTAACATATGTTTCTTTGAAAAACTAAAATAGCAATAGCAAACTAGCAATATTATGGACACTCTATTGACTTTTTTATATTTCCAAATATTACATGTTCGAATCTAAGTCATTTAGTAATAACAGCGAATAGTTTCAAACTGCTACTGATTTCATTATCATCAATATGTGAAAAAAGTCAATCCTGTTTTTTATGGTCTGTAGCTCAAATCCTGCTTAACTAAAATTAGACACAAGAAGAGTATTATTGGACAATGTTGTGAGGCTAAGGAAATCAATAACCATATTAATTCAAAGATCTAAATGTATTTAACACATACGCCTGACATTAGACACATAGAGATGTGTCTGCTGTCTCGCGCGGTGACATCTCCATCTTTCCCTCTGAATAGCTAGCAGGAACCTGTACCGTGTGGATC